GATGGGGGGATCAGACTGAGTGTTTTGGGGGATTGGAGTGGGTCACATGGAGGATGGACTGGGTGTCATTGGTGCTGGGGGGATTGGACTGGGTGCCCCAGGGACCAGACTGGGTGTTATGGGAGATTGAAGAGGGTCCTGCTGGGGGGTTGGGCTGGGTGCCATGGGGCAGAAGATGGGATTGGTGCTGGGTGGAATGGACTGGGCATTGAACTGGGTGCCACAGGGGTGGGACTCGCTACCATGGGAGGGTGGGACTGGTTGCCTCAGGGGATCTAGGTGCCATAGGATAGAGTTAAGATGGGTGCTAGGGCAGGGACTGGGCATCTGGGACCAGGCTGGTGCAGTGGGGGTTGCCAACATCCAGCCCCCCCATTGTCCCCACCAATGTTGCCCCACTGTCCCCCAGCCCCCTGCCCTCACCTTGCAGCGACAAGTGCCACCCGCCTCGTCCTGGCCCCCGCGGGCATCACACTTGATGAGCTCCTGGCCTGCAGGCAGCAAGAATGAGGGTGGGGGGCACCCAAGGGTGCAGGGACCCCCCAACCAGCACCCTCCACTCACCAATCGGGGTGCACTTGCCACCCGGCTGGATGGGGTCTCCCTCGTAGCCTGGGGCGCACCTGTGGATGGGTGGGGGATTGGTGGGTGATGATGGGTGGTGATGGGTGGGGGTGTCAGGTGGGGGGGTTATGGGGAGGGACCCCCCACCCACCTCTCACAACGGCGACCAGCGTATCCAGGGGCGCAGGCATCACAGGTGGCCTGGCCATCTGTGTCCAAAAAGCAGGACTCCGAGAACCTGTGGGTGACAATGACGGTGACACCAGGGCGGGGACATCAGGGGCAGGTCCCTGGAGTCAGCACCCACCTGCGAGATGGTTCTGTGTAGGGACAGGGACAAGGGTGGCAAGCGGTGGCTGTGCCCTTGGTGGCATCGCCGAAGAAGCCAGGCTTGCACTTCTCACACTGGGGACCCTCCGTGTTGTGCTGGCAGTTCTGGGAGGGGGACACAGGTCACAGGGGCATGGTGATCCTGTGCTGTGTCCCTGTCCCCTTGTCACCTCATCAACCCCTCACTCCTTACCAAGCAGTGCCCAAAAACGGGGTCACAGGTGCTGGAGTGGCCGTGGCAGCCACAGCCAGAGCAGATCCCCAGGTAGGGTCCCCTCGTCACCCGCTCAAAACGGGGGGCACAGCGCTGGCACGACAGCCCCGTGTAGCCCACAGGGCACCTGGGGACAGAGCAGTGTGACAGTGGCATCACAGCAGCAGTGCCACTGAGACCCTGACCGTGCTGCCAGTGCTCACCTGCACTCCTCGACATCCCCAGCCGGCCCCAGGCTGGTGTCTGCAGTGCTGGTGATGTCCATGGCCACGTCGCTGAGCCCCACGCTGGCCATGCGCCCGTCATACACCGCCCGGATGAAGATGCCCTCCAGCCCCTGCAGCACCAGCAGCAGCAGCTCCCGGCTCACAGGAGCACCCTGCTCGTCCTCCCAGTGATCCTGCCAGGACGGTGACAGCAGTGTCACAGCAGGGTGGTGCTAATGCTGGCATCACCCACCTGCCACCACCAGCATCAGTGCCTATCATCAACATCACTGCTACCAGCATCACCCACTCGCCACCAGTACCACCCACCCTTCATCAGTATCTCCTTCCCATCCCTGGATTCAGCCACCCACCAGTATAACCAGCACCACCCACCCTTTATCTTCATCACCACCATCACCACCACCAGCATCACCCACTTGCCACCAGTACCACCCACACTTCATCAGTATCTCCTTCCCATGCCTGGATTCAGCCACCCACCAGTATAACCAGTGTCACCAACTCCCTCTCTGCATCACCACCATCACCATCGCTCATCCATCACAACCACCATCATCACCCACTCATCCTCATCATCACCACCCATCCCCAGCCTCACCCACCCATCCCCAGCATCATCACCCACTCATCCTCCTCATCACCCACCCATCCCCATCATCACCCACTCATCCCCAGCATCATCCACCCATGCCCAGCATCACCCACCCATCACCACCACCATCATCATCACCCACCCATCACCACTGGCATCACCCACCCAACCCCAGCATCACCCAGCCATCCCCAGCATCACCCACCCATCACCACCACCATCATCATCA